AGGCTCCAGTACTTTGGTCATCTCATGAGAAGAGAAGGCTCTCTGGAAAAGACCCTGATGTTAGGAAAGTGTGAAGGCAAGAGGGGAAGGGAACAACCGAGGATGAGATGGTTGGACAGTGTCTGCGAAGCAACCAACATGAATTTGACACAACTCTGGGAGGCAGTGGAAGATAGGAGGGCCTGGCGTGCTCTGGTCCATGGGGTCACGAAGAGTCGGACACGACTAAACGACTAAACACACACACATTAGCTATTAGCAAGGCTAGGAACAAAATCCTTGCCACCATGAACGCACCGATCCTGCCTGACGTCAGAAATTAAGCAGGATCAGGACTGGTTAGTGCTCCCAAACAGCAGCGTAGGGGGGCGGACAAGGTGGCTGTGGGATTTTGCAAAATTACATACAGAGTTCTTCTTGTTTAGGTCTCTGGCTATGGAGCTTGAGTTTGGGAGAGATCTACAGGAGCAGTTCTAAGATGATGATGATGATTTTATATTCTGTGCTTTTCCTCCCATTCCCACCCTTCTCCAGTCTACTCATTCTTGGAAAGACTAAAGCAACAAAGCCAGGGACCAATTGTGCTGAACGATCAGCAAATAAAGAGGCGCCTTTTACTTTAAGATTCCCTTTGACAATTTGTCCAGTCATGTCCGACTCTAGGGGGCGGTGCTCATCTCCGTTTCCAACCCACAGAGCTAGCGTTTGTCTGCAGTCAATCCCCCGTGGTCACTTGGCCAGCATGACTAGACATGGAATGCCGTTTACCTTCCCACTGAGGTGGTACCTATTTATCTACTCGTATTATTGCGTTTTGCATGTTTTCGAATCGCTAGGTTGGTGGGAGCTGGGACAAGCAACGGGGGCTCACTCCAACGCGTGTATTTGATCTTACGACTTCAGGTTTTCTGACCTTGCAGCACAGAGGCTAGAGCGGTTTAACCCGCAGTGCCACCACGTCCCTTTTTACTTTAAAGCGGCCCTTAAAAACAATACCCAAGTGATGAAACCCTCAGTCTAAATCTATCTCAGGTTTCTGATTGCAGAATGAAAGCCACAATATGCTAAGACCTTTTTAAAATTATTTTTAATTTAAACTATTAAAGTTTACCTTTGGCCCATCAGGCAAGGTGACCTTTTAGCCTGCTTAAAATGGCAGGCGGTGGGGTTGATATTACAAAGAAACAGGGACAATCTTTTCAAATCAGGGAAGAAGAAACCAAAGGAACAGGTGCCAGGTGGAAGCATGGAAATTACACAGGTGGCTATAAAAGGAAAAACCCCGTTGACTTCTATTATACAGCTTTCCAGCTTTCCAGCTGGGAGCTGTGTTTCTGCAGAAACACTGAAGCCATTGAAATCATAATTTGGGGTGTTCAGCCCTCCTAGTTTTTGAGGTTTAACCTCTGGACTGGTACTAATTATCAGGATGGCTGGGAGTCCCCAAACCTAAACCCCAAGGCAGCACTGGTTCTGTCTACTTTAAGCTAAAAGAAAAATACAGGTGTTAGAATACTTCTTAAAAAAACACAAACAAACAAAACTTTTGAGCAGCAAAAAAACTTTTAAACAGCTCAGTGTGATACCCATCACGACCTGCTTGCAGTCTGATGCAATTCCAGATTCTTCATTTCCCTGCTGTTGATAATTTAGGCAGAACAGACTTCAATCACTGTTTCTGAGATGTTAATTTGAACCTGTCCCCTTGAATGCACTGTGTTCAATTTATAAATCCTCCGACACAGATGGAAAGGGGGGGGGGGGAAATGTTTGTGATGAGCACATTGGTTGCACAGGTAACAATAAACCCGAAGATGTTTTGAGTTTGGGCTGCGCTGTAATGGATGCACATGCCAGCTATCCAGCGTAGGTTTCAGGTTAAAAAAATATTGCCCCCCCTGGACTTTTCTTCTAGTCATGAGCTGAGTTGTAAGTGTGTCACGGAATGTTCAGAGACATTTGAGCTTCTGCGTGGGAACGTGAGTGGCAGAATGCTCACAAAGCCGGGCCAGTCTGGCTGAGAAAAACCGCAACGCAAGTCCAGAAGACAGGAAGGAAAGTGGGTTAGAAGCTCAAAGGTGTCTCAAGAAGTGGCATCAAAGCTGAAGAAGTGGGAAGGAAGGCTGAGTGAGAAGGCTGACATGTTGGGTGGGAAGAGGCAGGGAAAAGGAGCCACAGGCCTACGGGAAGCAGGGAGAATGAAATAAAGAAGTTGGGGGAAAATCTGAAAAAGAGCTAGGGAGGACAAGACTTTTTTTTTGATAGTCCAGAACAGAGGTGATCCACCAGTAACACATGTACCACCAAGTGTGATCCAGAAGTGGCCTAGACAAAACAATCATTACTCAAATTTCTCGTACTCTACTTATCCTCCTACACATCTTGACATATCATCTCCTACCGATCTTACTCGCCATGCATAAATTTAACGGTGCCTAGTAATGTCACCATAGCAATAAAAATTATTATCAACAGTATGATTACAGTTTTCAACTTCTAACGGAATTGCTATTTTTGTCTGGTTGTATTTGATAACATAGGATGATAACAGAATGCCTGGAAACATGTAAGTATCCTTCTCAGAAAAAAAAGAAGCAGACTTTTAATTTCTATCATGATGAGACCCACCTTCTTTGATAGAATAATTGACAAAATGGAAAATATGAAAATTTGGAAACCATTGGTCTGGGAAAAGAATTAGACATGAGGATAGCAATCCAGATACTCAAATGGGGTAATAAAGGAGATAATATGGAGGTGGAGGAAACTAAAGGTTATATGATATATCTAACCCCATCTGTGTATGTCTCTCTTGTATATTGTTCTGAACTGGAACGATAGTCCACCCACCATTCCACTGTGACAGGCACACTCCAGCGACCTTTTTAAATCAAGACTGGCGAAGGCACAGTGTGACAGCCAGTATGGTAAGGTGGACAGAGTGTTAGATGAAGACTCAGGAGACTTGAGTTCAAATCTCTGCTTCGTCATGGAAACTCCCTGAGGGATGGCAATGTTAAATCACTCCTTGAGCTTTTCACATGCTTCAAAAATCATACAGTGGTGCCTCGCTTAACGACGTTAATTCGTTCCAGCGAAATCGCTGTAGAGCGAAAACGTTTTAAAGAGAAATAAAAAAGCCCACTGAAACGCATTGAAAACCCCTCAATGTGTTCCAATGGGCTGAAAACTCACCATCCAGCGAAGATCCTCCATAGGGGCAGCCATTTTTGCTGCCTGTAAAGCGAGGAATCCACCCAAAAATACAGCGGGGAGCCATTTTACGCAGCCGGCGGCCATTTTGAAACCTGACGATCAGCTGTTTGCTGATCATCGTAAAGCGAAAATCAGTTCTCGAAGCAGGGAACCAATCATCGTTAAAAGAAAAAAACATTTGAAACATTGTTTTGCGATAGCAAAAACCTAATCGTACAGCAATTTTGTCATAGAGCTGGGAAATCATTAAGTGAGGCACCACTGTATTAGGGTCCTTGTAAGTTGGAACAGACTCGACAACACACAAATGCACAGAAGGCACTTTGTAGCAACAGACTCACTGGTTATTGGCTAACAGTGTTTTGGAAAGAAAGAGCCGTGTTTTCTCGGTGAAGACCTCTGTACATAACAGGGTGACCAGGTTGCACAGGACTGCACTAACTAATAGAGAAAATTCTTTCTGGGTTCATCTCACAGGGAATATGGTGGTCTATAGAACACCTGTCCAAAAGTACCACTGCTTGGTCTCCCGTGGACCCCCGTCCAACAGTAGGATGGACACTGATTCTAATCTGTCTGAAAAGATGGAACAGAGGGTGGGTCTCTAGGAATTGAGATGCAGGGATGTTATGGAATATTCACAAACATTCTAACCACTGAGTGGGAATGCTGAGTTATAGAATGGTGACAAACAGTGTAGTTTGTTGGGGTTTTTTCAACTGCAATTTCAAAAAAAATTGGAAAAAGATAATCAGCTAAAAAGATATGAAATGGAAAGTTCTGCTGTAAGAGGAGCATCCTAAATCACACAATGTCTAGAGAAGAAGAAGATAAAGGCAATGCAGGGTATAGAAAAGTATCTCATGACAGGCTGAGTACCTGGGAAATGTCCATGACTGAGTCACAGCTCAGAGGCCTAGCGGACGTCAAGTCGTTGGAGCCAAGTACAGTTGAGATGATCCCATTCTGGTCAATGCGCCGGATCATGGTACCATCCACAAAATATATGAAGCCGAATTTGTCCACTGTGATGCCTGGAAAGAGGAAAGAAACCCAGCATGTATAGCCATTTAAAAAACTCCAAAACTTTAACTGCATAACCAAAGGGAAGTAAGGAACAAGTAAATGCTTAAAGAGAAGGAGTGTGGTACCGAAACAGAGATAGCTCCCTGGCTTTATACTACAAAAGACTGTTTCGTTACAGTAGGTTAAACACTCAGGCAACTAGTGGGGTTTGCTTGTTTTCCACTCTGGATCTTCTGATCACTTTTGAGGTATAGTGTGAATATAAAGATGGGAGAAGGGATGTTCGTTAGAACGAGGGGGCACGGCTGCCTTGAAAGACCCAGCTGTAAACCCATACATAATAATTTTGCATGTCACATACATATATTTTCTCTGAGTGACTCTTCTTCTGTAACTGAGTAAAAGATGGGTCACAAAAGTAGGAACACACACATGCAACATCTTGTGTGCTTATCTGAGGAGCCTCCGGTGTACTTACATGGATCTCCCCCTGCATTGAGCCTACACACTTGACTTGATTGGATTAATGAATCTGAGCTTTTCTTCAATCATTTATTTCAATTTGTTATCTCTAGGAGAACGCAGGGAGAAATCTGGTTTTGTTTATGAATTTGCCATCATATCCCAATAAGAAATAGGTCCCTTTTTCAAAATAATACTACGATTTGTGTCTTAATTTCTCCTTTTCTTACAGACTATAATTTCAGTTAATTGCAGGCTTTTCAGGCAATTCAGATGGCACAACATTTTTGCACACCACCCCCCCACAGTGGGGGAGCGCTTCTGTGTCAACAGCAACAAGTTGGGAACTGCTAATTTTAGTCCCCTTTAGATTGCTTTTAAGAAAGGAAGGGTATGAGAAGCGGATAATGAATAAAAAGAGGCAGCTCTTTAATCTACTGGCAATGTGGAAATTCATTATAAGCTCTGGTATTTTTGCAGTTCTCCAGGTGAAATGAGTCGAAACAGCTTTTGGGCAGAGATGGGTGATGAAAGTTTGTGTGACACACCCACACAAGCTTTTTAGCATGGCAGCTGAAGCTTGTTATCTGGAATCTTAGCTTTTAGCTAAAGCAATGCAAGTTTTTTTCCTAACACCTTGGAAATACAGTCGTCCCCTGCTGGACGATTATCCCATTTAACGATGAATCCGCGTAACGTTGACGTTTTTGCTATCGCTTTTGAGATTGCAAAATGATGGTTTAAATGGGGTTTTTTCGCAGTGTGATGATCGGTTCCCTTCTTCAGGAACCGATTTTCCCTTTACGACGATCAGCAAACAGCTGATCGCCAGGTTTCAAAATGGCTGCGGGCTGAAGAAAATGCCCCCCCCACTGTTTTTAGGACTGATTTTCTGCACTACAGGCACTGAAAATGGCCGCCCCTATGGAGGATCTTCACTGGACAAGCAGGTATTCATCCCATTGGAATGCACTGAACGGTTTTCAATGCGTTTCAATGGGTTTTTTATTTCGTTTGACGTTTTCGCTCTACAGCGATTTCGCTGGAACGAATTAATGTCGTCAAGCGAGGCACCACTCTACTATTTTTTTCCAGTGACAACTGTCAGAATCCCACAGACAGTATGGCCAGTTGCAGTGATGGTAGCTATATCATATTCCCCCCCAAGGATAACACTTTCACGCTCTGGGTTGATTGTACAATGGCCCCAGAGTCATTTAGAAGAGGGTTCAGCTGAAAGTGTAAGAAGGGACAGAATACCTAAATCCAGTTTAGGTGAAAACTGTCTTTCAAAACAAGACATGAGGGTGGAACCGAGGGGTCATGCCAACACAAATGATATGCAATATGTCATGATCCATGCGGTTTTGCAGCAGCAACTTTGTTCAGCCCTGATCCCACACAGCATAAGAGTTCTACACAAGCCCTCTCCCCATATGCCTCTTCAGTGATCACCTAGCTATGATGTCTTTCAAACTCTTATAAGACATATGTATTTAAAGAAACGTCCAGGGAGTGGGCAAACATTTAATTTGTCGCCGTCTGCTGCTTATTTGTATTTGGTTTTAGTGTATTGTATTTTAGCAGACACCTGCAATTTGTGATTACATGCGTTTGTAATTTTAGGTACATGTAATATGTGGTTTTAGATTTGTGATTTTAACTATGTTATTTGTACAGACTGTTAACTGCCCTGAGTTCTTATGAGAATATTTAACTGATAAGTTGTTGTTTAAAAATTTATCTGTTATAGAATACCAGTATAAGACTACTTTTCAAATAACAATAATAATCTGCTAGCTTGCATGCTGAAATTCAAATGATTTTGCAAACCGATAATCTCGTCTGGAAATTTGCTTGATTCTGAATGTTTAAGCATGACAGTTTCGTACACTCCCGTGCACCAGTTATGTTGATTAATGATGATGATGATGATGATGATGATGATGATGATGATGGTTGTTATTATTATTATTATTACCACTGCTAGGCTGGTCTTGCATCATCTTTGCTCTCAGTTAGCAAGAGAAAATAAGCTCAGCCAGTTGTAGAAGCATTTTCTTTTCTGCTCTGTTGTTTTAAAGCAGAAAGCTGAAAACTTCAGGCTACTTAAGAAACAAGTTCTCACTCTCACACAGGAACACTTGATAGAGAATGCACACAATCCTGCTAGTTCTTGGTTTCCCAAGTGCTTTATGTCCCAGAGCTATGTGTGTCTGTGTGCTACAAAACCCAGCACCAACAACATGTGTTTTGCCCCATGTGAACTAGCACAGAGACCCAGCAGTTTTGATTGCAACCTCCAGAAAAAAACAAAACAGCCAAGAGAAACCCCAGGATAAATGAATCCAGAGACTGCTATCTTTGTGGAACTGCTCCACAGGGTAAGGCGCAATAAAATAACTCAAATTAGCCACTGTGTAAAAGTAATGCCTCTCATTTGGGAAATGACAAGCAACATCAATCAGGCAGTAGGCAGGAACACATCCAGCCAGAGCTCGGAAAGTTTAGTTTTTTGGGGAATACACATACTAGAATTCCATAGCCAGCAATGCTGGGGGGATTCTGTGAGCTACAGTCAAAGAGCATAATCATTCCAATCATTCGGAAACCGGGTGAACATTCGCAAACACACAAGGTATTCTGCAGCTGGAGACAACCCCAAAGCTGGAAAAGTTACATCCAAAATCCCGCAACCATGCTTGGATTCTCCACTCTGTAATTTAACTCAGCTGAAATTGGCCTGGTCTACATGATATAGAAGGGGAAGATATGGAGGCAGTGACAGAATTTGCTTTCTTGGGCTCCCATGATCACCGCAGATGGTGACAGCAGCCACGAAATTAAAAGACGCCTGCTTCGTGGGAGGAAAGTGATGACAAACCTCGTCAGCATCGTTAAAAGCAGAGACATCACCTTGCCAACAAAAGTCTGAATAGTCACAGCTATGGTTTTTCCTGTAGTGATATATGGAAGTGAGAGCTGGACCATAAAGAAAGCTGCCTGCTGAAGAGTTGATGCTTTTGAATTGCGGTGCTGGAGGAGGCTCTTGAGAGTCCCCTGGACTGCAAGGAGAACAAACCTATCAATTCTAAAGGAAATCAACCCTGAGTGCTCACTGGAAGGACAGATCCTGAAGCTGAGGCTCCAATCCTTTGGCCATCTCATGAAAAGAGAAGACTCCCTGGAAAACACCTTGATGCTGGGAAAGTGTGAAGGCAAGAGGAGAAGGAGATGACAGAGGATGAGATGGCTTGACGGGGTCATTGAAGCTACTGACATGAATTTGGTACCAAACTCCGGGAGGCAGTGGACGACAGGAGGGCCTGGTGTGCTCCAGTCTATGGGGTCACGAAGAGTCGGACATGACTAAATGACTAAACAACAACAATGTGATATACATGGATGTTCAGACCTGGTGGACCATAATTTCCTTCTGTTTGCCTCATATCTATTCATAAGATAGCCCTCTCATCCTGCATCCCAGGTGTCAGTTCAGCACTTGTTAGGCCTCATCTAGAGTACTGTGTCTAGTTTTGGGCACCGCACTTGACGAAGGATGCCAACAAATCGGAGCAAGTTCAGAGAAGGGAAATAAAACCGATCAGGGGGCTGGAGAGGAAAGAACGAAAGAACTGGGCATATTAAGCCTTGAGAAATATGAGAACACTTTTCAAATACTTGAAAGGTATGCAGAAGAGGGGCAGGATCTGTTCTCAAATCTCCCGGAGTGTATGTAATAATGGGCTCGAGCTACCAGAAGCCAGATTTAGGCTGAATATCAGGAAAAAGTCTTAATTGTTAGAGAAGTACAACAATAGAACCAATGACCGTGGGAGGTGGTGAGTGCTCCAAAGCTGGAGGCATTAAAAAAAAAAGATTGGACAACCACTTGTCAGATCTGCTTTGATTTGGATTCTTGCCTCAAGCAGGGGGGGTTGCACTTTATAGCCGTATAGGCCTCTTTCCCCTCAATTATTCTATGACTCTAGTTGCCTAATGTTCTTGCTATGATCTACTCTCTTGATGACTTCGCTCTGAAGTCATCGTTTCACCACCTTGTTGCTCAAATGGTTTGCTTCGACCAAGGAAACAAAATCGCTTCCCTGCAGAATCTAAAGATTTGCTAGAATTTCATTGGAACAACAGGTTACTTGCGTTCTTGTTTCTGCCGAAGCGAAGCTTCATACACCAGAAGTCTATTTGGAACCTTCTGCCCCTGTGATCTATCTTTCATCTGTTATCTCCCCAGGGACCTCCCAGAAATGTCCCCTCCCCAAAATAAATGATAGCAGAAGACTTTTTAGTCTGTCTTATGCACAGAGGAAGCTGCTTTAGTTGGAGAAGTTGCTGTTTCAGATTGCAAGTCCTTGAATACAAGGCGCTTTTAAGTTTAGAAAAAGGTAACTGAGGAGAAAAACGGAACCTCTTCTTCCTCCCTCCTATGTATAAAAAAGGGTCATGGAATGGCTTGGGAGGCAATTCGGGATTGTCCCAGTGATGGCAGCTAACTTTTTTTGGGGTGGTGATCTGCGTGGGGGAGTAATTTCTACTCAAGCTGCCCTTTTAGATTGGAGGTGGAAAGAAGATACCTCAGAGGCCCCTTGAATCCTCAGCCCACCGCTTTGCGAGCAGGGACCACACCGTGTTTCTTTTGAGGCGAGAACGGTCCCACCGTTTTCCAGGGATGGGGTCCAATATTAGGAACGACAAGAGCACAGCCTTGTTACTTTTTTTGCCAGTGATTTTTCTCCCGTGCTGCTCCCAAGGAGCAGCGGCGGTGGAAACGGCGCAGGCAGAACGGCCGCCACTTCCGCAGCCACAAAAGTTTCCTCGCCAAAAGGTCTTTCTCACAAACATTGGCTCGGCTCTCGTTGAAAAAGACGGCACAGTCCTGCTATGCGAGCTTGCTGGTGGAGTCTCACGCACCCTGTCACCCGTCTACCGTGTTTTCTCTCGAGGGGTCACCACCCTGCCAGAGATGTACAACGCAACCGACTCGCAGCGTCAAAGACACCGAGTCTTCCCCTGGCTTTGTTCAGCTTCAGCATGGAAGGTGTGCAAAAGATCAACCATGTTCTTTCCTCCACATCCTGCAAAGGTGACTGGATTCTATGACACTGAGGTCAGCCCAAGATGGAAAGCTGTAAGATGCCCACAGCTGTGGCGTGCCCCAGCCACTGCAAGATAAATTAATCCTTGAACATTTACTCTTGCTTAACACCCCAATGTCGTAGAGGTTTCTTTTCCTTCTGAGCATTCTGTCTACTGGCTTCACACCATGCATATAAACTTCAACCATGCCCTCATCATCTTTTTCCCCCTTATATTAGTGATCCTGTAAAGTTGTAGGGGGACGTGGTGGCGCAGATGCCTCTGTGCTGCAAGGTTGGATTCATCGTAAGATCGAATCCACGCGACGGGTTCCCCCCCCTTATATTAGTGATCCAGTAAAGTTGTAGGCGGATGTGGTGGCGCTGTGGGTTAAACTGCAGATGCCTCTGTGCGGCAAGGTTGGATTCATCGTAAGATCGAATCCACGCGACGGAGGGAGCTCCCATAGCTTGTCCCAGCTCCTGCCAACCTAGCCGTTCGAAAGCATGCAAATGCAAGTAGATAAATAGGTACCACCTCAGTGGGAAGGTCACGGCGTTCCGTGTCTAGTGGCGCTGGCCACGTGACCACAGAAACTGTCTTTGGACAAAAACTCTCGCTCTATGGCTTGGAAATGGGGATGAGCACCACGCCCTAGAGTCGGACACGACTGGACTAAATGTCAAGGGAAACGTTTACCTTTTTACCTAAAGTTGTAGCTTCCCCTCATTTGACTGCAATTTTCTCTCATCATTCCTAACGCGGAATTCACCCTTTTTACAGTAGTCTCACTCACATTTTTCTCCACACACACCAAGTCCACCATATATTTTGTTAAGATGCAGTCATCACAACCATTTTACAAATGTGGTCCCAAGGTAAATCAACCTCTATGAATACAGAGCTGTTAATATACTGGCAATTTTGGCCTGGTCTCTTCTCTCATCATTCCTAACGCAGAATTCACCCTTTTTACAGTAGTCTCACTCTGGGTCGAAGGCATCAACCAGTTCTCAACCACAACCCCTACCCACCTCCCTGCACAGCAGTGACAACTTATGACTGGAGAGAGAAGTGCCCTCTTCCTATTTTGGGGTAAGCCACGTACCCCTATCCTGGTCCAGGATCTGCCCACCTAGGTTAGCAATTGTTAGTTCAGATCCCACCGCTATAGATGTAATTACAATTTACTTTTGCCCCCAAATTATATGTCATTTCCCCCAAACGAGGCCTTAAACTACCCTGTTTCCCTGAAAATAAGACCTAACCTGAAAATAAGCCCTAGTACAGCGGCCCCTCGACTTACAGACGGCTTGACTTACAGGCTTTTTGAGTTACAGACTTGTCTGGCTGCAAAATTTAGGTTCAACTTGCAGCTGGAGAATCGACTTACAGACCAGAAAAAAACTAAACTGGAACAAAAACGGAACAAAACCGGCCAGTTACAAAGTAATTGGTTTTCAATGCATTGTAGGTCAATGGAGACTCGACCTACAGACTTTTCGACCTGCAGCCACTATTCCAATACAGATTAATTCTGTAAGTAGAGGGTCCACTGTAGGATTTTTCAGGATGCTCATCATATAAGCCCTACCCCAAAAATAAGCCCTAGTTAAGTGAAACCCCACCCTCCGCCATTTTGCAGGAACCAGAAGAAGATGACATGACTGTAAAATAAAATATCTCCTGAAAATAAGCCCTAATATGTTTTTTTTGGAGCAAAAATTAATATAAGACCCTTTCGGGGAAACATGGTAAAGAAATTTTTCTGCAGTTCTTCACACTCAGTTCTGACCATATAGAATGGTTTACTGTCATTTGTAAACTTGGCCATCTTGCCTGCACACCCTCAGCCAGAATATTCATGAAAAAGACGTTGGTCCCTGGCTCACTCCAAAACAGAACCTTAGGGGAACACATTTTTAAACATCTCTTCACTGTGAGAAGTGTTTATTCCTCAGCCTATTTATTCTTATTTGTCACCACCAAACTTTCCCTAAGCGACCAGCTGCCTGAGTGGGGTTTTTAAAATGGATCCTTGTACCCTACTGCTTTGAATGTGTTTTGATATTCTTTATATTTGTTTTAGTATGCATTGGTTTGATCCTTATCATTATTTGTATATTCACTGCTGTTAGCTTTAATATTGTCTTTTAATGATGTAAGTCATCTTGGGTCCTTTTTAAGGAGTAATAAATAGATAAATAATTTGCAAGAGGATTTGTGCTCTCAACCAACCATGTCTGCTGAGAAATGTTTGGTGAAGGGCTTTATCCATAAAATTTGAAAGTCCAACTATGTCTCGCGGTTAACTGATCTCTCAAAGGCTGGTGAGTTGGACTTATTTGCAGAAGCCGTAATGATGACTTGTCAGCAAAATCCTTCAATAATTTCATTTAACTGGTACATATTTGAGTTCTGTAGTGCCTCCTGTCTGGAGGCTGTCCTTAAAAAAAAGACCTGATAATTTTCAACTTGTTGGTAAGTCTTGGAAATCTATGTCTTGCCCTTGCTATTTGTCCCAGTTCTTAAAGCTCAGCTTCCTGAAAATGGAGGTTCAAAACACCTTTTCTGCAGTCAAGGCAGAGACAAATAACCAAGTCAGCTTCCTCACAGATTTCCAATCCTCTTTCATACACCTTTGCATCTAATAGCCCAGCTGCCTCACCTGGATGATTTCCTTCCTCTGATGGCCTTGAAGATGTTTCTAGTACCACCGAACTAACAGTAAGATAAACAACAATAGAGAAAAGAGGAACCAACAGCTGCATTTAATATTCCATCTGTAGTGCTGTGAAAGCCCACCAACTGAAGATTCAAAGCACAGTAGGACTCCCATATCCACTGGTTCAGTATCCACAGTTTCACTTAGTCTGAAAATATTAAAAACATTAAAAGAAAAAAAATCCAGAAAAAACTATTTTCATGATGTATTACCAGAACCAGCCACTAGAGGAAGCCAGATACCATGCTATGAATACTTGTTAGTGACGAATATCTAGCTGTCACTCATCTTACCTCTGGGACTTGTCAGTGTGGCCTCAGTGGCTTTCCCTCCATCTCCGCAATGGGTCTCATCAAACGGAAGGCATTGGTCTCCTGTCCCAGCCACCACCTCCAAGTTCTTCACCACATCCTTCACCACAGTCGTCGACTTGATTTTAAAGATGCGCCGGCTGCTGGTGTCGGAGAGGTAGATGGATCCAGCAATGGGGTCCGTTGTCAAGTAATATTTATGAGCGGGGCTGTGGCTGCAGAAATAAATAAGGCAGAACGACTCGTTTATTCCTACGGAGTACACACCTGTAATCAAGGAACAGGATGTGAATGTGATCTATTGCAGGGCCATGAAGCCGGCTAGCTGGAAAAGAGATGAGGCACAGACATAGCACTGAGGAGAGCTGCAAAAAGCTGATTTACCCAGGGCCTTCCAAGCTAGAAACGTCATGAAAGAGACTGTTGAAAGGGATGGTTTCCAGCTCCAGAATCCATCCTTAGTGAATTCTTCAACCAGGACGAAGATGACTAACTTTCAGGGGTGGGTAGATATCTAGCTGGCTCATCATGCCTGGCATAATCCATCTGAAACCAGAGTGTCGTAGTCTACAGGAATTCAATCTCTCCAGGCCTTCTGCCCGGATGTGGACCACTACTTTCTCTTGGGCAAGTGGGTATACTAGGAAGGACGCTGCATTATCATTCACCCCATCTCCCTGCTTGAGCCAATTGAAATGGCCTCAGTTTTCGTACTGAAAATAACTTAGGATGATTTTCATGGAGAGCCTCAATGTTTTAGGAGTGGAAAATATTTTAGATGTGGGAAAGTGTTCTGTTGGGATTCCACCTCCTCAAGAAAAGACTTCCCGAGACTCACTGCAGGAGAGTTCACAGCTTGTTTTGAAAAATTCACTTTATCTGCAAGGCTGGTGGGTTGTTAGGGAGAGATAAAAGCACGCACAAAACAATGTATTCATTTGAAAAAGTGAATAGCAGGACGCACGAAATCGAAACAATATGTGTGAACACACTTGGGTTAATGGGGGGGAAATGTATATACATTAGGTAAAATGTGTAAATAAAACATGCACATTAGGAAAATAGCATTTAAAATGTGTCGAAATTACTACCATGGAGCAACCAAATACTGCTCTCTCACTATCGGATGCAAGACAAGGATGGGAACCAATTGCAGCTGGAATTCAGGGGAACACCATGAAGTTGAAACGGAGATTTGTACACCCTTGTAGTATTCTTGTTGAGGGCACAAATTTGAAGTTGCCACTTATGGGGCTATCCTTACATGCTATCATGTTCATGCATTTTGTGGGGGCAGGCACCCCATCACTGAAAACAAAGGGCATATTAAGGGAGAAAAAAAAGCATCAGCGTGGTTTTGTGGCCAAGAGTGCTGGGCTAAGACTTAGAAAAGCCAGATTCAAGTCCTAACCAAAGCCACGCGATCCACCAGAGTGAACTCTGGGCCAGCCACTGCCCTTCCTGACAGGATTACTGTTGTGAGGATAAAGTGAAAGGACACAATCCAGGCATGCTTGGCTGGCTGGAGGAAAAGTGGGCTGTAAAGGCAATAAATGGATGGATGGATGGATGGATGGATGGATGGATGGATGGATGGATGGATGGATGGATGGATGGATGGATGGATGGATGGATGGATGGATGGATGGATGGATGGATGGATGGATAGGCAGAGAGACAGACAGACAGACAGACAGACAGGATGGATGGATGGATGGATGGATGGGCAGAGAAAACAGTGAAAATGAGTTCTCCCATTTTGGCCTTGATTGCTTCTACCTTTGGGATTATATCTCTTGAGGGTCAACACCACCCATAGGCTGTCCCTTTTGAGGGAGATGATGTCCTGGGGCAGTCACCCAATGTCGCAGCTTAATTCTTCAATCCTCCTCATGTCATATGGTCTGGACATCATATAGGTAGCTCCCACTCTGCTCGTACAGATTTCCAGTGGCAGCTCCGGTCACATATACTATATTACCGACAATAACAAATCCTGCAAGTACATCTCCTCACTTCTTTCACTCTTTGTGGAGGAGGGGGGAAAAAAACCCTGCATAACGAATTCTTCGTTTCAATTAACGGAGCCACTCCTTCTCGGAGGGGACCCTGGGCAGGAGGTGGGCCAGGGCGGGGGAGGAGAGAAAGGCCTTTCTGATTTATCCCAGAATATCCCCCTGTGATTTACCCTATTAAAGTTTGAACAGATTCCATCTGCACTCGACGACACTGATTCTTGCTAAATAAAATACTCTGACCTTCAGCAACTCAGCCTGGCAGTCTGGGCCCCATCTGTATTCCTTCCCGGTGACAGCAAACTGGCAGGGTATTATTTCATTTACTTGCCCGTCACTCAGGCTGAGCAAGTGGCATCCATTTTGGTGGTGCCGGGTGGGGAGTGGAGAGGAAGAAAGCTTCCCTGTGGGAATCCACCAGCCGTTTTTATCAGGCCCCAGCGCTCGCTGCTGTCTTCGCTGAGATGAGGCTGAATGTCAGTCAGCAGTTGAGCCGCTCATAATCACCGGAGGTGGGCAGGAGAGGCATTAATAACCGGCCTGACATCTCCCCCGGCCCCTTGTTTGCCTCAGGATTTTCAGAGCCCTTCTGACGGAGCCTTTCTCCAAATTGGATACGGACGAGGGTGATTTGTAGACACATAATTGGACAATGTGACCCTGCCATCCACTTCGAGAAGGGAAAGATGGGGGGGTGGATTTACAGATGCCTGCAAGTCCCCCCCACTGACCTTCTCAAGGAGTGATGGAGTACTTGTGCCTTAAAATAAGAAGGTTCAGCCGGCGAACTACGGTCCAGCTGTAACTGCTAAGTTGAGTCAAAGCACAGATTAAAACACCGACGGCTGAACTTCAGGGACCCCGGGGATAGAATTTTATGCCTTCAAGACACACGGCGGGCAGCATCGTGTCTGATAAAGGCAACAAATGGACAAACAAATCACCAAAACAAAACAGACCAGAAGAAAAACAGGGAGCAGTGAACCTAGGAATGGTTGGAAGTCAACTTTCAGAACTTAATGCAAAATCGCCACTCCGAGAGGCATCTTTAAGTAGAAATCGACCTTTCTTTGACCTTTCTTTGACAATGTTTTTTTCTCGGAAGGGTGGGCAGAAATACAGTAAGTAGTAAAAACAGTCTGGAAAGCCCTGTAGAATTCCCCCTCAGAACTGTCCCCCTCATTTTACTTGTATGGAAGGATCCATAAATAAATTGTGTCTTCCTTCTTAGAAGATGAAGGATTTTTAAAGGTTGCAGAATCATAGTTGACCATGGGGTGGTCTCCTTTAATAGAACAGGATATCAAGCCATTTTAGCCCATTCTCCTTCCTTTCCACCCTAACCTAGCTGACTCCCAGCACTGTGGAGCATATTTCTGGGCAACACAGAAAGCTCTAAGGGAAAGGGAGAACAGGTAAAGCTCACCCTCCCCTTCAAGTTAGAGGAGTTGTTTTCAGGAGCTGTGAATAAAAGGATACACCTGGATGCAACCCCGGAGTCTGAGATTCTAAGAAACTAAGATTTCCAAGCTCAAATCGAGGTGTTGGTTTTGAGCTACGAACCATGGAACGGCACGGGACCACGAGATCTGAGAGGCAGCCTGAACCTGCTATCTTAAGAGGAAGCCCCATTGCACGTGCTACTACCAATCCAAAAGACTACAAAAGACTAGTTGCATACAGAAGCTAGGCTGGCCAGCAAGCAAGACAGGAGGGCTCGTAGGTTGTGTACCTTTCCGTTCCCACTGAGCAGGTGAGAGGAGGAAGGCAAGTCCTGTTGGCACAGAGGGTTACCTTGACAGGAATTGAAACCCCTTTGGGCAAGCTTGTCAATCTCCAACTGAACACTAATGGTAAGTGAAAACTGCCGCTAGACATTCTTGTTTTAGTTAGTGGTACTGGGGGTGGCTGGGTGTGCACCTAGACAAGTGATTTTCATTGCCCTCAGGACTGCTGCTGTTGTCAATTCATTTTCCCCTTCCTTGGGTCCATCCGTACCACTTCCCAAAGATAAAAATGCAACTTATTGCTTCCGCCTTCATGTACGACTCATCATCCTACACGGGATTCTGTCATGACCAGAACTGATGAGGCTGAAAGCAATAGCTGTGGGTACACAGAGGAGGAGGAGCATGGTGTGGAAGGGGGTGGAGGTGTGTAGGCATGCATCTTAGAGGGAACCTTGATAAAGAAGTTAAGATATGAAGAGACCATTGCACCTTATCTTTCCTCTCAAGTCTTGGTCAATGCCTGACAATCGTGACCCCAAATACTGACCCTAGTCTTTATGTGGCTAGAAATTGCCGACGCACTATGCTGTATGCAAAACTATTTAATGAATTAGAGAAATCCTATCCACCTCCAGTTTATGGGGATATAATATGAATTGGGGCACTTGAATAATTTTTTTCCCGGGGATAAATGAACTTTCCGAAAGTTTGGTGGGTGGGGCGAGGCTTAGGGTTCTCATGGGTTGCAGGTCAGCAATGTTTTCCGAATGTGTTAAGCATGCATGCATACGAATAACGATTGTTTGTGGGCTGGCAACGATGGGCAATTTATCTGAAAACCTTGCTATTTGCCTGCTTCTTTCCGTTTTGCTTTTAAACTAGTGGTATCTAAGACTTCAGGGAACGTGGTGGCGCTGCGGGCTAAACCGCAGAAGCCTGTGCTGCAGTGTCAGAAGACCAGCAGTCATAAGATCGAATCCACGCAACGGAGTGAGCGCCCGTCTCTTTGCCCAGCTCCCACCAACCTAGCAGTTCTAAAGCATGCAAATGCAAGTAGATAAATAGGGACCACCTCGGTGGGAAGGTAACAGCGTTCCGTGTCTAAGTCGCACTGGCCATGCAACCACGGAAGATTGTCTTCAGACAAAACGCTGGCTCTATGGCTTGGAAACGGGGATGAGCACCACCCCCTAAAGTCGAACACGACTGGACAAAAATTGTCAAGGGGAACCTTTACCTTTACCTTTTTATCTAAGACTTCAGCTGGGTCGTGAAGGTGTGGGATAATAAGATGTTCAGAAAAAATATATATGATGGAATATCTGAAAATGGTATATGCATATTTTGCATATATTATTTTAGTTTATTTCACCCAGGGCAAATGAGCACATGAGCTACTCAAAGAAGCCTACCCACCCCTTTTTGCACAATTTTTTGGGCTAAGAAACTGCCATTTCTCTCCCAGAGGAGTGCTTCATTATGGAAAGAGAATGAGATCTCCCGTGACAACTCAGGAAACAAAGGCAAGGAGAAAATGTCTGAAAAGGCCACCAAAAAGCAGAAAGCGCCTCCAAAGAACAAGCCCATAATTAAAATCACATTTGTTTGTGTGTGTGGGAGGCTTGCTTTTCCTGTAATTTTGTACAATGCCTCATGATTTGATGTGCTTTGCAAACAATAAAATAAAAACCAATATTGATTATCCACAATTAGCTCCCCGAGGCAAGAAATGAAAGAGGGCATGCAACACAGACAAGGAAAAGAAGTGACAGTTCTTCACTGGTTGGCTTACCTATGTCTGAAATCTTTATTTCTGACAGAAGAACAGGTGGCGCAGAGTGAAGACAGGAAGAAAGGAGGAGAGAAAGAGAGAGAAAAGGTTACTGGGTGAACTTCAAGGATTATTAGCAGGCACGACGGTTGGCAGTAACAACCTCACACTACAAGGCAATAATAAATAAAGACTTAGCAAGACTGACACCTGATACATTTCATAATGGAGATGGCTTGTCAGGGAGCTGCCCGTCACTGAAAAACTCATCATCCAACAGCCTTAAGAGCTGCCTGTGCAGGTAACGCAGGGTGTAGAACAGCTGTCATGGAATATGCGATCGCTCTGTTATTTCTCTTCCTCGGGGATGAATTGTCCACATACTTGTTACGTCTGTCTGGGGAGAAGCTCAGCGCTTGCTCCCTGCTGGCTTTGCAGAGTGGGGGCCAGCCCCAGTTGTCAATTAGGCCTATTTTGGCAGATTGTGTGTGTGTGTATAGGAAATCCTTTTCTTTAAAGGCAACTCATCCCTACGCTTTCTCCTTTCAACACTGCTGGGGTTAGAAACGCCAGACCCCCATGTAGTTCAAAATCCGTGTATAACTCTTATGCTCAACAAAATGTAACTACAAAGCATAAACAGATTATTCCCCCCCTCTCTCCTCTCTCTCTCTCTCTCTCACACACACACACATACACAAAAACACACATATGGGGAGAAACACTCCCCACACAGACAGTTCCTTTTGGGCTTGGTATATACCATATTTTTCACACCATAAGACGCACTTTCCCCCCACAAAACGGGGTGGGTGGGTGGAAAGTCTGTGCATCTTATGGAGCGAAGAAAACAGATTATATTTTCCTGTTTTCTTCTCCGAAAAAATTGGTGCGTCTTATGGAAAGGTGCGTCTTATCGAGCGAAAAATACGGTAAAAGCTGCTCTCCTGCTTTTCCTTCCCTATCTGAACATTTGAGGTAAACGTTTCCCCATTTCCCGCCATCCCACTTTTGATTCTTGAGTCCAAAGCATTTCTCTCTGCTTCACAGTGCATATCTCCAATTTTTGGTTTGGTCTCTCTCATATAAACAAAGGATTTCCCACTCATCCTGCTCCTCTCCATTTCTGTGAAGGAGATCTTCTAAGATATGGTCCTAACCCTTACTATCCGCCATTTTCATTCCTTGGCCAACCCTTTTCCTGGCTATCTTAGACTGTGGCCTCTGCCTTAACTTGATGAGAATTTGGCAATACTGATTGCAGTACAGATGGATAATTCAAAACACACCCACATTACTCTTAAAGAAAAACCACACACAGACACATTGATCCATCGGGACATTTTGAGATAAGCATTTTCTCTAAAACCCACCCTACACAGGACATGGAGAAACTAGTAATACCCTGAAACCCACAGTCAAAGCTTCCTTCCTTCCTTACAAATTTGAACCACAAATTACAAATTCAGTTGGGATAATGGCGCTCAGGTGAAGTCCCTCCTTCATCCTTAATACTGTATTCTCAATTAAAATCCATAACCTCAGAAAACAGGACTGCGTGTCTTCTGTGTTGCATGTATTGATGTGTGTGCAAGGGAAAAGGGTATAAAGAAAGAAAAAGCAATCCCTCTCCCATTGTGTCACTGTTCTGCAGCCACAACAGAAATGTTAAACATCTAAAAACTGAAGGGAAACTTGGTAATCATGTAATTCCATGTATATAACCAAGAACACAGCAGACCACTACAAATGGCGCATAACCTCTATTTGGGGCGAGGTAAGCCAATGGTCTGAATCAATTGCGGGATGTTTCCCCATTGCTCGTCCATGTCCCCATGGTTTGTGCTCACGGCACGGACCTCACTGGCTGCCTTGCTCTGTGGAACAAGGAACCCCGGCGTGAAAATGAGGAAAAGGAGAGGAGAAGGCAGGTCTTACGAGGGCGGTTGTGTGAACCGGGTGTTAACGTTTTAATAAAAACAGCTTGTACCACACCGGTCAGTGGGTTGATTTCTGTTTTACAGAATGGGCAATTTAGCAGCTGCAGAGCAGTGGGAACAAAGCTACGTTTTACTGTGCGAGGCTCGCAGAGTGGCCGGGGGAGAGAGAGAGCGAGAGAGAGCGCTGAGCCAATGTTTTGGCCGTTTTGAAGACTTCATGAACAAAAGGGACAAACCCCTTCTAGCTGCAGTCTTTTGAAGAAAAAAAAAAACCTTTTATGGCTGCCATTTCCCCTCTGGAACACAGATCCCCCCAAAAGCTCCAATAACGAAACCACAGTGAATGGCATTCAGCTCGAAGGGAAGCTACTTTGGAGAGACCCTTTGCTCCCCCCAAAAGCCACCAACCGTTTCCCAGGCTGGCAGTTAGCCAAACCCCACCAAGCAGACAGCCTGTGGGTATTTTATGGAGTGGTGTGTGTTTTTAATCCTTGGAAATTTAAGCACAAAACCTGCTGCAGCAGCAACAACAACGGCTTGAGCCTCTTCCACACCGAAGCAACTTTATAGTTCTTCACATAAGATTTTGCTTTTTTAGGATCGAAGATAGGATTTTAGCAGCAGTGGGGGGGGAGTGGGGGTGTATGGAGCCAGGATTCCTGACACCCAAGGAGATGATTAGCTCATCTACCTTGGTACTGATGACTTTAAAATGCCATAGCTCTCCGGGGACTCTCTCAGCTTTCCTTATCCTTTTAGCTGAAGGTAAGTGTGCCAACAAGACCAAGCATTTCTGCCGTGTAAAGCATAAGCATTCCCAGGGAGCAGCCGGCCTTCCCTTGGTGTGGCCTAATCTAATTTAGGAAATCTATAGCAACCAACTATCTAGGTAAGTGCTGCTTTTAAGGAAATCAGTAGCAATGGGCAGGCGGCTAAAAGCGGTCTTCAGATGAAGTCAGGATTTATCTGAGTTATTTCCCCCACATTTGTGAGAATTTAAAAAATTATTTGGATCTAATTTGATGGGTCATACCGGGACCCTTTCCCCTTCATCTCCAAATAGCAAAGAGAATCATCAGTTTTTATGGAAATGGGAGAAAAACACTCTGGTAGTGAAATGGAAAGTGGCCATTTTGTGGTAGTACCCGTAGGATAAATCGTGGGGGGTCTGGCTGTAACCCCCATCTGCTATGTTGACCCCCCTAAACAGCTTAATGGAGCCACAAACATCGCCAATGGGGTTGGGCGTTTATCTTTTGGCTTCCTGATTCAAGCAGAGCAAAGGAATTGCACACACTGGCATTCATTTACTTTCCCCAAGGACCTGGGCTCTGAATGTTTGGGGAAAAAAAGAGAGAATTCTTCTGTGGTGTCTAGCTTGGATTCAGATCTTCTGATTCCAAGTCAGGCTCAAATATATTTCAACTCCACCTCTTCAAACTGGGACAGGAGCAGCCCCATGACTTGTATCATCAAGACAGTTTCTGGAGTAAAAGGCAGACTTTTCTTGTGACTTCTCGGTGCTGCTGTCACTTCACTACTAATAGGGATGTAGGGAAAGAGTCCTTTTGTGTACAAGAATCCTTTCTCTTAGTTTTGAGAGCTGAAAACTCCTGCTCAGTTCCTCAGTCTTCCCACCCCTTCATTTCCGGTTCTAGATCCTTCATGGTGCCTTCAAAATTCTCTCTAGGCTCCTCCTGCTCGCTTTTCTGCCCTTATATCCTTATCCCCACCTGTTATCTTTGGTTCTGCAGTTTTGCAGCTTCAGCCGGGTGGAGGTCTCCTGCCCTTACAAGCAGAGAGACACACACAGAGAAAGATTCTGCTTGCCAGTTAATGGTTTGGTTATTGATTGCCCCTTCTATTTCTGCTGAAGGATCCTTCAAAAGGAGGCTGTCATTGAAAGATTCAGAAGGGGATGAAAGATCAGCTCTTTGCCATAAAACAGATGGTTAGAATACCAACCTGGTTAGCCCTGGGAAGGGACAATTCATTTTTGGTACCCTTTAGCATGCCCCAGGCAGAAAGAAGGTGACATGGAATAAATTCTACCCGTGGAGAAACGAGGGAGGGAGATGGCGAGAATCTGGGTGTAATGCCGTTACCAAAACCTTTGGTTGAGTTTTTGACAACTCTCATTACTCAAATGATCACTTTTGCACAGTTGTGCTGTAATATCTACACAGAAGTTATTCGTTGGATCAAAACATTTTTACAAATTATTTTTGACAGCTTGATACTGGGTTTAAAATGTACTGATTTTATTAAAATGCTCTTGCTGTTCTCTTATTCATCTTTCTATGCTGTTAACTACCCTTGAACACAATTGCCTTTGTAGAAAAGTGGCATAAAAATTAAAGTCTTGTCTAGTCTGGTCTGAAAGGTTCTGCTCCTTTCTCCTCCTCGAATTCATGCCTAAGGCTAGACCAGTCACTATATTCAAAACCCAGCTCGGACGCCCTTATTTTTTTTCCTGAATCTCCATGCAAGGTGGAGAGCTTTGGGTGGAATACTCAAAGCTTGGATACTCGTACATGCTTTAAATGCAGATTGATAAGGCATCCTATCAACAAATTCCAGGAATGCTTCAATCAGCATAGACTATTCCTTCTGTTTACTGACACTGTTGTTGCTATTTCTAAATTTGTAAAAAAAAAAAAAAATGAAGAAAGAAAGAGAGAGAGAGAAAAAGAAAGAAAGAAAAGTGGTTTTGCTACAAAGTCGGAGCTTGGCTTTGCCTTTATCCTGGAAAGAATTAACAAATTATCCTGGGAAGAAGGCAACATCATGAATATTTCAGACTTAATAAATCACCGTTAACTCTGTCCTATTTATGAATGACCCTCTAGCATCTCAGATGCCACCTACCCATTGCCATTACGGCCGCCATTCTTCCAAAATTACATCACTTCTTAAGTTTGCTTGCTACTGGTAGCATTCCCTGCATCTGAGATTTTTTTTTAATTTTTGGACCAAGATTTCTTCTTGACTGAGCTTTGTTTTGCTCCTGAATTTGCCCCTTCATTCTTTTTGAGGGCATTGTCTTTCTTGGGAAAGGAGAGTTTGCTCTCAATTCCCCATCTGGACAAATAATAATCGGCGAACAGAGAATTTTCAATCGGACAGCCCGGCATACCTTAACTCCAGTATGTTGGTGACATTTCCAGAGGGAAAGATTCTCCGGATGTAGTTGAAGTCCCCGACGTAAATGCTTCCATCAGAGCCGCAGGTCAGGGCGACGGGAGCCAGCAGTTTGTTCCCGTCGGCGAGGCCGTTGCAACTTGGGCAGGAGATGCTCCTTCTGCGCCCGTTCCCCATGATGCTCCCTATGACAGGTGGCTGCTGGGAGATGAACTGGTTTTCCCCGTTTCCTTTATGCAAGATACCTGGAGAGCAATGGGGGAAAAAAATGAAGTGGTACTGATGGCATCTCTCCGATTAAAAGAACTACTTGTATGATTTAAGGAGGAGTGGATCTCTATCAAGATGGACAAAGTGTTGCCCCAAAATCTGGAATGAAGGGATGCTGAGGACAGTCCTCCATATTGCTTTAGTAATCAAATACATTCTGCTTCTGAATATGGAAATTCCACTTCAGCTACCATGGGTGGGATCTGTGACCAAAGTAATACACTGTGTAATGCCCTTGTTCAGTGTTCCAGCAATCCAACCATGTCTTCTTTTAGGACAGTTCCTTTCATCCGCTAGGTCAGTGGTACCCAACCTTGGGTCCTCAGATGTCTAGGTCAGTGAGGACCTCCTTGGGTCCTCAGATGATGTTAGACTAGAACACCCAGAAGTCTTTACCACTAGCTGCGCCGGCCATGATTTCTGGGAGTTGTAGCTGAAGAACATCTAGGGTCCCAAGTTTAGGAATCACTGGCCTACATTACTCAACAGACGTTCAAGACTCTGTTGCCAGTGAGCATCTGAATCTACTTTGGGCTGTACTTTTAGATGGCAAGTTCTGCCCCCTAAAGGTGTTTCTTCAGAAATACTGGCCAAACTCTTGTTGCTTAGAGTAGGCACAGGGAATCAACAGGCATTTGGTGAGTCAACTCCTCTGTAAGTTCCACTGAGTTGAATGGACCTACTCTAATGTGGTAATTAAAGTAGGACCATTTGACTCAACAGAATGTACAGGGAGTTGACTCACTAAATCCTCTTTGATATAATGGATCTACTCTAGTGCAATTTGCTGTGCCGAGCTACAGGATTTTGGCCATTATGTTCTTCTTCCTTTTTCTTTCATTATTTAAGGTTCTCCAGTGCACGTTATACTTTCCTCTTGGTTTCATTTCCCCCCTAAGTCCTATTTGGGTTACAACCCTATCCTTGTGTGCCCTGAGTTCAGTACCAGAAGAAGTGAGGGCAAACAGCTTATATCCAGACCTCTTCTTCTCCAGTGGGCATATCCGAGTCATCTCCATTCTCCATTTCCCCCATTCTCTATTTCTGGGGGTGGTGGTCGTGAATCTAACTGGGAGAAGCAACAGGGGAAAGCATAACTGCGCCAAGGGTTCCTCTTTTTGTGGTGTGTCCACTGCATGGCTGGTCATATACGGCAACTAGTTGCATGACAGGTTGCATAAGGAATGCCATGGCAAAGAGGGAAAACCACATTTATCCCAATAGGATTCTGGTCTTGGAATCTGGCCTCCATCTTGCACCCAGAGAGGGCAGATTTGGCTGAAAAATTCACAAGCCAGTCTAGTTTCCTTTATCCTCTAAGCACTGAATGAGGCTTATTCAGTATCTCCCCCAACAGGCAGACATTTGATGATCCTGGCCACCCACCACGAGTGGGTCGAGGGTCCACCCACCCACCAACCTGCTTTGGCCACACAGGAATTCAGATGCACTCAAAGACATTCCAAAGACGGCAGGATTAAGAATAAACTCTGCCCAAAGCAAATGCCTGCACTGGATTTTCAGAGGGTGTTTTTTTTAATTTCTTCTCCAGCCTCATGTATGCACCAACCAACCAACCAACAGAAATTTGGCACAATATCTAGGTTACAATAAATAATTTGTGAGCAATCTACACCCAGGAACGGGTGCTTCCCTCTCCTTTGGCCTGAATTATTAATGGAGAAGAAAAAGCTACTACGTATTGTGCCGTTATGTCAGATGTGGGTTATTTTCATCATTACAACGGAGGAAGAGAGGGAGGAGGTTGGCGCAAGAGGTTGACGCACCACTCTGGATGTTGAGGGCATGGTGCGTGTCCAAGGACCAACCGCCGAGCTTGGAAGCATCGATTTCGTAACCCTGAAGGACCGCCGTCCGCTTCTCCCACAGCAGCAAGTCAGGACACGATTCGTATTCATAGCCCACAGAAACTGGGAGCAAAAGACAGAGAAGGAGAGAGAAAGAAAATAAACGTGAAACTTAATTATCTTTAAAACTGCACATTCAGCGTGCGGCAGAACTTTTCACAGGGCGAACGGTTTGGGCTCCAGAAGGGCATTCTTCCTCCAGGCTACGGCAAATTCTTACTTAACGCACTCTTACAATCTTACAGAACCTCCAACTGTAAAAGCGGTTGTGCATTTTAAAAAAGGTCAACCTGGTAATAGGCATTGAGCCGATGGGCTAATTATTTTAAAATTGCTGGATCAGGGACATGTTTATTAGTCATGGAACGTTCAAGGTCTCCAAGTTTACATTCTTCTTATTTATGCTAATTTACTGGCTAAAGAAATAAGTCCACCAAACAAGAAGGAAAAAGAAGATGAAAATGCAGGCACCTGGGAATCTTACGTGGCTCTTTCAGAATGGTCAGAACATGGCCAAGCAGGGCATTCAGTTTTTCCACTATTGCAAAAATGCTCATTATCAATTTCCCAGATTCTGATCCCAGAACAGAAGATAGGTTAAATTTTAGAAGCTGCTGGTAAACAAGTGATTAATACTGCGGTCAGGGTAATGCCCTCATTACCACAGATGAAGTCATGGTGGGAAGAGCCCACTCGCCCACTTGAGGAAGGAGTGAAAGAGGTGATGATTGGAATGATTGGGGGGGGGCAAAGGACTCTAATTCTTCCTTTCTTCTCAGTTCTCCAACTACCAAACCTGTTGGGGCAATTTAGCTAAGGATGTCCACTAGAACATCCATTGACTATTATGACGTTGATCATCATCATTTGTATATTGCCTTTTTACCACAATATGGACAGAAACCAGCAGGGAAAAATAATCATCTACGGACCCAGGAACATCCGGAGAAAATGAAACCAAGCATCAGCTTCCGGTCAACGATCCGCCAAGGAGAAAAGATTTCTGGTGGCGACGGGAAATCTTTGGGAGGAAGGAGACTCTCAGCCTACCCAAAACAATGGAGAAGTCCTTCATACGTCCTTCTGGACTTCACATGGTGGCAGGAACAGAAATGGGGAAAGTTCCCTTTTCTCCCCCTTCGGGAATACAGCTCCCAGAATCCCCCAACTGTTGCCAACCAGAGGATGGAAATATTATTTTTGGGGACTACAGTTCCTGTGCTCGCTGGGGATTCAGAATGTACAAAAGGGTGGATTTCTTCAGACTGAGTGGACAGGCAGGCTCATAGAAGCAGGGACAGCCCTTTGGATACTGAAGCAAAATCTTACCAAATACTTCAGACAATCCGTACACCTTTTGATTGTAGACGTCCGTCTTGTCCCAGATGAAGTAGTAAGACAAATCGGGGGCCGCGGCGAACCACTTCCTGAAAAGGCGTCCCTCCACAGCCACCATGAGGTGGACTTTCATCAGGTTGAACGGGATGGTGGGGTGGGTCAAGCTGATCCTCAGGACCGATTTATAGCCCGACGTACGGCTGCTGAGGTAGCTCAGCTTGATTTTGCTGCCTGAAATTTTAATCTCTTCTTGCAAGGCCTAGAAAACAAAACCCAATCAACTACAAGAACAGAGGTGTTATTAAATCACACCTTGGAAACATCAGTAGGGCTGTCTCGTGTCTGGTCTGCTGGTGTTGTTTGTAATAAGGGCATGAGGAGAATTCTTAGAATATTTATACGCTCACATAAAATGCACGCATGAATAATAAAAAGTACAAACAATTGGACAGGGTTGCTCTGGGAAGCTAAACGAAATTTCTAAATATATTTTCAGTGCTCTAATTTTTGGGACCCAAGTTTCACATATTTATCCCCCTTGGGGTTCTCCTGTCCTATGACGGTTGGCAGATGTCTCTTGTTGATAAAGCACCATGCAAACAGCTTTTATTTACAGACTGCATGTTACAATTAAACAATTAGCTGGGGGAAAACTGGTCTGGCAGACTCACAGTATACAAGCATACAAGTATAAACTCTTGGGATCAAGGCTCCTGGAATTCAGTGTCCTAACTGTGAGGTAAAGGTTCCCCTTGACATTGACTCCAGGGCGCGGTGCTCATCCTCGTCTCCAAGCTATAGAGCCAGCGTTTGTCCATAGACAGTTTCCGTGGTTACATGGCCAGTGCAACTAGACACAGAACGCTGTTACCTTCCCACCGAGGTGGTACCTATTTATCTACTTGCATTTGCATGCTTTCGGACTGCTAGGCTGGCACGAGGTGGGACAAGCGACGGGAGCTCCCTCCGTCAATCTTATGAGTGCTGGTCTTCTGACCGTGCAGCACAGAGGCTTCTGCGGTTTAACCAACAGCGCCACCACGTCCCTGCTTCCTAACTGTGAGGTTGGTGATTAATCCATATGTTGGGCTTACTGCCAGGTAAGTGTGCACATGAGCGCAACCTAATAAAAGGTACTCAGATCTTCTGGAGGGGCCTTCTTGTCTATGTATGTTTGGTGAGAACCCAAGATAAGGCCTTCTTAGCAGCTGCTTCCAGATTCTAGAACTCCTTATCTAGAAAAACTTTGTCAAGGCAGCTGATCACCCACTAACAAGCAAAATTCTTTTTGAATAAACAAGTATTTAGTCAACAGAGCTGTGAGGTTGTTTTCTCTTCTGGGTTTTAGCATATGTTCCAATTTGATCATCATCACCACTACCCTAATTTTAGAACCGCAGAGCTGGAAGCAACCCTCTAAATCAGGGGTCCCCAACCCCCCCGGGCCAAGTTCTTGGTAGGACCGGGCAGCGGACACAGAGCTCCCACCCCCCGCGCGCACACCTCCCTACACGCACCCACACACGCATGGTTCACCCACATGCAAACACAGGTACCCCACTCATCCTCCCACACACCTCGCCCCCGTGAGCGTGCCCCCACATGGACCCCCCCAACAAGTCCACAATTAAGAAAAGGTTGGGGACCACTGCTCTAAATCAGTGGTTCTTAACCTTTGTTACTCGGATGTTTTTGAACTGCAACTCCCAGAAACCCCAGCCAGCACAGTTGGTGGTGAAGGCTTCTGGGAGTTGCAGTCCAAAACTCCTGAGTAACCCAAGGTTAAGAACCAGTGCTCTAAATCACCGAGTCTATCTCCTGTCAAGGAGGCCCAGTGGGGGAGTCAAACTCCCAACCTCTGCCACCGCAGTTAGATACCTAAATGATTGAGCTATCCAGCAGTTCTAACTGGGCACAATTTCTGCATGTTTTAAATGTTTTCATATTTCTTATTATGTGAAGTTATTTTATAAAAGTGAGAAACCCACTGATGTTCACATAATTTTTGCATAACTTGCTGCAACTAACTGCAGCTAATTCATGAGCTGTTTGGCCACGTCTTGGTTGTACAACTGGGTGAGTGATCAGACACCAAGACGGCATCTTTTCAATTACACGACAGAAATTTTTCATGAATATCAATAGGATTTTCCAGTGTGACTTTTTTTTCTCCAAACCCAGTGATTTTATTGTTAACCACTTCAGGCCTTTTCTAAGGGTAAAGGTAAAGGTAAAGGTTCCCCTTGACAATTTTTGTCCAGTCGTGTTCGACTCTAGGGGGCGGTGCTCATCCCCGTTTCCAAGCCATAGAGCCAGTGTTTTGTCCGAAGACAATCTTTCCGTGGTCACATGGCCAGTGCGACTTAGACACGGAACGCTGTTACCTTCCCACCAAGGTGGTCCCTATTTATCTACTCACATTTACATGCTTTCGAACCGCTAGGTTGGCGGGAGGTGGGACAAGCAACGGGCGCACGACTGCTTGGTCTTCTGACCCTGCAGCACAGGCTTCTGCGGTTTAGCCCACAGTGCCACCACGTCCCTTTTCTAAGGGTAGGATAATGTAATTAACACAAATTTAATTGGGTTTAGTTAGTTTCTAAACCCTGCGAGGTGCTAGTCCCCCTCTATTCAGCACTGGTTAGCCTTCACCTTGAGTCTTGTGTTCACTTCTGGACATCATACTTCAAGAAGGATGCTGACCGATTGGAACAAGTTCAGAGGAGGGTGACAAGGATGATCAGGGGGCTGGAAACCAAGCCTTATGAGGAAAGGCTGAAAGAATTGGGCATGTTTAGCCTTGAGAAAAGAAGACTGAGGGGGGATAGGATAGCACTTTTTAAATATTTGAAAGGCTGTCATACAGAGGAAGGGCAGGATCTGTTCTCAATCATCCCAGAGTGCAGGACACGCAACTATGGGCTCAAGTTAAAGGAAGCCAGATTTGCTTTGACTCTCAGGAAAAAAAAACCTAACTGTCATAGCAGTAGACAGTGGAAACAATGACCTCAAGAGGTGGTGTGTGTTCCAACCCTGGAGGCATTCAAGAAAAACTTAAGGCAACCACCTGGCAGATACCTTTTGATTTGGATTTCTGCACCAAGCACAGGGTTGGACTTGATGGCCTTATTCAAGTCCAACTTCACTACTCTATGATTCTATGGGTTAAAGCCAATATTTTAATTGCAAGGTATCAACAAGAAGGAACTGCTGTGAGCTAGTGACAAAGACCCCAAAATATTTTGAGTCATGTATTAGCCACAAATTTTGATAGACTGGTAAATTCAGAAAAATTAAATGCTAATTCTAATACATATTTAGATTCTGTAATGCAGTCTTTTCAGCTTACACAGCTCCATGTGTATTAGGGTGGAAAAACAATGGAAGCAGGGAAAATTAGGACTTATTTTTTAAAAAAACCATAAGTATTTTAAAAGCTTAGCTAAGAGACATGCTGGCGGTATTATGCAGATAGTTTACAAGCTGAGCAGAGTGGAGGCCAGGGGAGCAGGTCTTTAATGCAATCTGTCTTCACAGCCAGCTTACATGGAACAGAAACAGGAAAAAATAACTATACAGAAAATGTGTCTCTCTTTTATTTTGGGGCAACATCTTGTCTAATGCCATGCTAGGAAATTATGACTGCTCTCCGCTGACCTCTAGTCCTTACTGACTGGTTGGTGTTTCATAGGAAAGGTCAATCAGGGAAAAAGCAACACTGAGCCAGTTGAATGGAAGGCTTTAGAAAGGATTTGGCTTGACAGTTACACATGCACTGGTAGCATCTCGTATAGATTATTGCAATGCGCTCCGTGTGGGGCTGCCTTTGAAGACAGTCCGGCGACTGCAACTGCTCCAGAATCGAGGTGCACCACTGGTGAGTGGCGGGGCCGCTAGGGGACACATCAAGACGATTCTGATTAAATTTCATTGGTTACCAGTTGCTGTCCGGGCCCAATTTAAAGTGTTTGTTTTGATATATAAAGCCCGAAACGGCTTGGGCCCTGGATACCTGAAGGACCGCCTCCTTCCATATGAACCTACC